CCTCGCTCGCCTCTCTCACTTTATACAATTGGTCTTTTTGTATATGTATACCAAAACAGATTATACAACTGTTTTTTGTATATGTATAGCGAATTATACATATATATGTTTGCTATGGAGCGCAATTATGCAAACTTTGTTATAGCATACAAATATGAATTTTGTGTTTGCTATATGTGAAAGTTGCTCTTTTAAGTTTTCAGTCGCATAACCCTCCTATTTTCTTATAGAAATATTCAAAAATTTGATATACAAACATTATACAAATAATAACAAACATGAAAAACTCAAATCTACTCCAATTTACTTAGCGTTTAAATTTTGAATTCCTCTAAAATTTGTAACTAGTTGTGGGATTTGTAGCTCCATGATGGTGGAGCCTCTTTAGACGAAAGAAAATTGGGAAAAGGGGACCGACTTCGTAGGGCAGAAGAATGCTCAGATATGTGTGATTTCTCATTTGGTTTTCAAAATGTACGGGGTAGATATATGTACTAATTAATGAGAGATAGAGATATAACCAAATTTGATCACACATTTGAACAAATCAAAATAAAATGAAAGAGAAAAAAAGGGACCTTTTATTATGATAATTTGAAATTATATATTATATAGAATTAAATATCATTTTCAAATCTTTTTAATATAAAAAATTTATAATTTTTTTTGTATAGTGACACAAGAATGCACTTTCTTTTCAAATTGTCGAATTTTTGTTTCAATATCTCTAAGTTATAATCAATTTTAATTTTCAGCAAAATTCTTCTTATAACCACTAGAAAGTAACTACGATATGTACGTATTAAAAAGTCATAATTAATATTTGGAAAATTTGAATATGTACTTAAGTTTCTTTTTAAATTTTAAAAATTTTAAGTTTTTAGTTAAATGACAATATAATTTTATCTGATACTTTAGAACTTTTAATTAAATAGTATTGTATATTAATAAATTTTTTGAAAATAAGAAGGTATCATATTGCAACAAATTACTAATATTCTATTAGCTAAGAATTTTTCATGTAGTTATATATTATATAATGAATACTGTTTTATTTAGGAAAATATTATTTGACTGGTTTAAGAGTCGCCACTTAATTTTTAAGAAAACTGTTGTTTTCAAAAGACTAAAACAGGAATCTAGTGAAAACTCGTAAAGGGGTTCGAGGTTCATATTAACATTCTAGGAAGGTTTTAAGAGCACCTAGAATGTCCACTAATGTGATTATCCGACAATTAATTATTTGGCTAAATTAATTTTAATTTAACTCGACTTGCAAAATTGAACTAATTTATTAGTTAAGACCATTTCAAAGGAGAAAAAGAAAAATGTTGAAATATCGTCCAAGTGAAATATTTTGCAAACTTATTCTTTAAGTTTTGTTAAGAGATGACCGATTTTGTTAAATTGTTAAATTAAAATGAACGTCTCTCGGGAATTTGAATTGTTGACCCTAAGATCAATGACAAATATTAGCAAGTAAGGAGGCATAATAAAACAAAGAGGGAGAGAGATTTGGGCCCAAATCTGGTTTTCCTGTTCGTCTGGGCCAGTATTTGGGCCTTTTTCGTTTTGGGACCAAAGACCCAATATTCAACACCTGTCTTAAACTAATCTTTGAATTTTGCTTCTCTTTGGGCCTTTGGCCCAACCCTTATCTCCTTGTACCTGTCCTAGTAACTAACAAATAATAATAATTACAATAAATGGGATTAGGCCCAAAATAATGAAATAAAACTTCTTTTTGTGCAAAAAGTGGGCCTTTGGTCCAATCTTTCAATTCTTCTTCGCTTCGAATCCTTTTCAACTCCGAGTCCTGTTCATCGATATTTGTAATTGGCTGACTCGAATAAAGGATTTTGGGTTTGAGCCTTGATGGCTCTCTCGAAATGCAAGGGAAGGAGATAGGAGTTCATGACGAACTCGGGTAGATTTCCACATGCAAAGCGACAAACAAATCACCAAATTAGCACATGAGAAAACAAAAAGAAAGTGGCGAGATAAAATAAATATAAAATGAAATAAATAACATATGCTAGTCTAATCATTGACAATGCAAACTTTGAACGATAATTTTAAAAGGAAAACTAATTAAGGACTGATATTTCTCATATCTACGGTAATAGATAGTAATAGGGCAAAATGTCAAAGGAAAATTAATGTCTCTTCTAGAAATCAATAAAGCAAGAAAACAAAAGAAACTAAGTTCAAAAATCTTAAACTAATAGCATTACACATGCTAGCTTAATTAAGTAATCATTTAAAAAATATGAAAAGGAACAGTGACATACCACAATGAAATAAACAACATGGACTAAATTAGATATAAAAAATAACGAGACTTGGTTGAATATCAAATGCAAGAAATGACTAGTGTTTATCGAGCAGGATTAGAGAGTAAGCTAAGTAGAACTATGCTAAAGATTAACTAGATTTTTCCGAAAAAATGATAACCAAACCAGCAAAATGAGAATAGCATTCAATCTGTTAAGTTAGCTAAGATGGAGGAATCTTATATTTTAAAGGATTAATCACACAAAAGGACCACATCCCCGCGGAATTAACACCCGAACACCGTACCAATTAACATAAGCCAAGTTCAAATCTATCAACAAATATTAATGTTTTATGTTGTAGCAGAATAGACTAATCAACAGTAGACTAATCATAGGACTTGAAAGCAAAGAAAACAAGCTACTATTTTAATCAACCATGGACAAAACAACATACAAGCTCCGTATTAACTAGCTAAAAATTTTGTTCCCATTTTGAAAATAAAATCGACCTTAACAGCCCAAAGGAGGGTCAAGATAGCAACCCACGAAAGCTATTTCGTCCATCCTAAACAACATCAGGCCAAACGAGCAACCAAACCACATACACAAAGTAACTAAATGCGAAAATCAAAAGAAAAACGGAGTTCACAACCCAAAGAGTTCTTAAACTTAGATTCACACGAAGGATGCATTCTATATCCCAAACTAAAATATGTCAACAACAAACAAGACGGCCAAACCTTAGACATCAATAGTAGATCAAACAAAGAAACAGATGCATCCCAAAAAGAGAGATAAGAAATCAAC